CCTGTAACTTCATTACTTTTTATTTTTCCTTTATTTTGTCCTATAACTTCATACTTTTTTATTTTTCCCTTATTTTGTCCTATAACTTCATACTTTTTTATTTTTCCCTTATTTTTCCTACTAACTTCATACTTTTTTATTTTCCCTTATTTTGTACTGTAACTTCATACATTTTTATTTTTCCCTTATTATGCCTCCAGTTAGCTACCGTTCTTACCCTGACTTTGTTATAATCAAAATTGTTTTTTATTATGATTCAAATCAGCTTTTAAATTGCTTACTCACATTTTGTTATTATTTACTCTTACCTTTCCGTTATCTTTTGTTCTTGTCTCATTCCATTAGCTTCTCTTCTTACTGCCTCCCCCAGCGGCAAGTCTGTGGACTTATACGATAAAACTACAAACAACAACAAAACTGGCCCGGCATGGCCTAGTGGTTAGGGTGCTAGACTCGAAATCTTAGGGTCGCGGGTTCGAATCCCCGTCACCCAACATGCTCGCCCTTTCAGCCGTGGGGGCGTTATAATGTGACGATCGATCCCAGTGTTCGTTGGTAAAAGAGTATCCCAAGAGTTGTCAGTGGGTAGTGTTGATTAGCTGCCTTCCTTCTAGTCTGTAACTGTTAAATTAGGGACAGCTAGCGAAATTCAAAAACGAATAGATTTCTCTTTATCTACCCTGCTGATTATAATATCTAACGGTAGATTCTCTGAAGAGGCTAAAACACCTGCCGTAGTCGTAACGTAATGCTACAATTGTCAACGTTACGGACACGTCGCAGCAGTCTGTAACTCTCTCCCACGATGTGTGGTGGAGACCACCATCCATATTTCAGCTTTTCTAAAATAGCAGGAAAACGCTTTGTGTTGTAATTGTAAGCAACAATAGACCGCGAATTACAAAGGATGTCCTAAGTACAAGTATACATCATAACATCAAAACAATAATTTGTAGTATACACCATAACATCAAAACTACAGAAATAAGTACACAATACATGAAAATAAATCACACCAATATACACCATAAAATCAAAACAAGAATTTCTAGTATACATCATAACATCAAAACAAGAATTTCTAGTATACATCATAACATCAAAACAAGAATTTGTAGTATACACCATAACATCAAAATAAGAATTTGCAGTAAACACAATAACATAAAAACTACAGAAACAAATGCACAATACATGAAAATAAATCACACCAATATACACCATAACATCAAAACAAGAATTTGTAGTATACACCATAACATCAGAACTGCAGAAACAAATACACAATACATGAAAATAAATCACACACAAAAATCAACCACAAAAACACCACTTCTACTGACACCAATAACACAACCCACACCTTCATTTACATAACCCACACTATCATTTAGGTATGCAGCAACAGTTCACTCACAACTACAAAGGAAACAAATATCTTATTAAATAAACAAACTCAGCCACAATTGAAAAGACCACTGAACAGCAATTTAATATAACTACAAACCAAACAAATGCTCAACCAACAAATACCCCGCACCCAGATATACCAAAAACACCAGTAACATTACTTGCAAATGCAGAAAACAACCCTATCATGGAAGCAGTCATAAGCATTTTTATCGATTTCATCAGAGAAACAAAACCCTCTAAATCAGCATAACAGCATTACTCTACTTTTTGAAATAGCTAAGAAACATTTTAAACCAATAATTCCCTACATAATTTAGTCATTTGTGAACTTTCTTCAAAACACAATACAACAATATCTATAGCCAGGTCTCACAATATCACCTATATTAGCGTATCAAAAGTATTTATGTGTAATACGCATCTGACAAACTGATCTAGTGAAAAGTGATGATTTACCAGTGAACTGTTTGTGAAGTGTTATTACACAACCAAATGAAGAAGAGAAGTGGTAATGAAGCACTAAATGATATGACAGTCATGGACATGGCCATGAAGAGGGAAGTAGAATCAGTGTTTGAGCCCTGATTTCGGGAAGTTTGTTATAGCATTTGTCGGTAAAAATAGAAACCGTAGAGGAGGGAGGAAGAGGTCTAAATTGCACCTGACACAACAACAACACGACCAAACACCGACTCCAAACATCTACCCTGCTACGCTTTAGCTTTTCCTTACTGTGCCTTCTGATATCTGTTCGTCATATTTAATTTTTGTCACATCTTCTATCCATCATTTTATGCCTCCATTAAAGTTTTATTCTCATTTTAGTTCTCTATTTTAGACTGGTTCCTTACTGTGCTTCTAATTAGCAAGTCATTTTACACTATTTTTGTTATCTAAATGTGTATTTCCCGGCGTCCTTCGACTTAATATACCTTATCATTGTGATATATCTACTTATCCTTCTTCTATTAACTTATTCTCCAACTGTGTAGTTTGTTTGTTTTTTGTTACCAACTCTGTTGATCCCCATAAAGTTTTGTTCAGTAACTTCTACAGCTCACCTTCACTCTTAACTATTCCCATACGTTGCATCCTGCTGTTCGCTGTACAGTTCTACGAAACTTAAATGTTGATTTACGTCCGTATGCCATGTATTTATCATACGTTGCATCGATATTATTATTTACTGATCCTTGCAGTGTAGTATTTTATTTAGAGAAGGACAGAGAAAAAAGTTCAGTAAATTGAATAAATACTCGACTGTTATATGTACTTAGAAGACATTTATTTGTGGTATATATAATTATATATCTTACTCATTTAACGAAGGATCTTAAATATCGTAAAATCCTTGAGCAGGTTTGATTATATCCAAGCAACTGAAAGTTGTTCACTTTAAACCGACAATAATTACGAATAGGCTGGAAAATAAACTTGTATATTCTAGTGGAGATAGGTTATTAGGTTTTGTATTTTATACTCAACATTTAGGTTTCATAGAGGAAGCAGTTTTAATTGTTACGAGAAATAAAAGATGAATTTATCAGCGAAATTTGGCGCTAAACATTCCCA